AAATAAAAGAATTCTTAGTAAAAATATATCAACTCAGAAATGGCAAGAATATACAGTTATAGTACAAAAAAAATTAACACACCATTCAGACAAAAGACCTTTTTGCAGTAAGGTGCAAAGAATTTTGAAGACACATTCTTTGTTTCAAGAATTTACTTGCGAAGATGAAATAATTAATTAGTAACGAAGACCTAACCTAACTTGACATGAATTATATTCCTTTGTTTATCTCAGACCTTGTTTAAATATCGCATTAATGTGATGTGTAGAAGTCCAACTTTCAAGATGTGCGCATTAGTGTGTGGATTAAAAGTATAAAAACATTGATAGTATTTTATCTTAAAATAAAAATGCCAGAAACAAATGAGAAAACTTATAAACTAAAAGAAGACTCTCGTCATAAAGTAAAATTAAATAGTTTGTTGGCATCTGTAACATTACCATCCAAATATAATATTTAGTATTACACTGAAAAAACTTGCGTTATAGGTGCGTTTAAAATTCGAGCTTTTAGTATTATAAAAAGTGCAAATGAATTTATAATGAGAATCATTAGGGATATTATTAGCAGTTACGATATCATTTTATGCTAGAAGATCCATGCACCTATAGATAAAATTGAATTAATTAAAGAACTAGTCGAATTGATTTCAACTTCCTCTACACCATACACATACACTTTATCTCAATCTGCTGGTAGGAGTGCATATAATGAAAGGTATTTATACATTTATAAGGAGAAAGTTTGGCGATTGGACAAAGCTTACATAATTAATGAGGAGAAGTTGGGTGTCAAATTTATGAGGAATCCTTATATTGTGCATTTTCAGCATCGAAGACGTTCTGAAGTGAGGATTACTCTTGTTGGATGTAATACAAAACCTAAAAACACATATGATGAAGTATGAGCATTAGTAACTGATATCTATCCTTTTGTAAAAGATGAGATAATGAAATTGGCAAATAAACAAACTAGAAATAAAGAACTACTTCTATGATGATTTAATATATGCATTTGATAATCTTAATATGTATGATTTCAATTTCTCTAAATTTGTTTCCGAGAGGAAAGAATCCAGAAAAAAAGTTTTCGATGAACCTATAATTATGATAAAAGATTTTAATGCATCAGGAACCTATCTTAGGGAAGATGAATGTACAGAAGTTGACAGATTATTGCAACAAAATAAGTTAGTATGGGGCATTAATCACGGTGAAAATACTATGGTTGGGTCAAAGGCTTCGTATGATCAGTTTATTTTTGAAGTAGAAGTGGCAAACAAAATGATCAAAAGTGTTAAAGTGTGGAAATTTAATAAGATTGGTCACACAATAATCCATCTACTATCGAAGAAGCAACTAAACTCATATCTGATATTTACCAAAATTTTGTTTACCAAAGTTACGAATCAATTCTACCAAAATTATGCCTTCCAGAGTTATG